ACCCTTTTGAAAAAGGTTCTATTTAGAACCATCAACAGCACGTTCTCCATCAATATGAACAGCCCTTTCATGACACAAAGAGCCATTTAATCATGCAAAGGGTTCTTTGAGTGTACATGGTTCTATATGGAACCATTTTATTTTACTAAAGAACCCTTGCAGAACCATCTTTTTTAAGAGTGTAGTTATAGTCGCTGTGTTAGATGTGTGCATGATGTGTGACGAGGGCCAAATCAACTTAACTCAATGTTTCTCTCACCCTAAATGTAGTAGATCAGCCAAGACATGTTTGGTGCCTTTAGCTTAGCAGTGGAGCTATGAGGCTAATGTAGCTAACAGGTAATGGAAGTTTATACCCTATCAATTAGCATAGTGCCACCTGCATACCTAAATCATTAAGTCACCTAACTGGTTTCTGACACTGTTTGGTACAGTGTCCTCTACAAACACTGACAAAAGCATGTTAGCATAGCTAAAAACAGGCCAGCAGCCATCTTGAAGCCTGGATTTTGTCTGTGCATTAGCTTTGTAGCTAAAGTTGCTAAAGAAGCAAAATTCAGACACCAAACTCTCTTGGCTGATCAACTGCATTTGAGATCAGAATCAGATTTATTGGCCAGGTATGTTGACACATAAGGAATTTGGTTAAAGCTGTTTGTGTCTCTCCAGTATTAAATGCAATATACAAACAATGTACATATCATTTACAGTCATTACACAATGTACAATATACACAGCATACACAGTATAAAAGCAATGATGGGTACATTGTGTGAATTTAATTAACCTAATGTATGTTTCTTAGCCCTGATAGAAAAACTAGAGTAGACCAACATGGCTGGACACTAGCAAAAGCAGCATATTTTGTGTTTTGGATGCTGCTATGTTGGTCAATCAAAGTGACCATGCTGGGTGACCAGCTAAGACTGTGCTGTTTCTTCAGCAGGGAGATCTGATTTTATGGCAGCTTTCTTATATGTGTAGAAAGTGAAGCGGTGCTGCCCTCTAGAGGACATTTTCTAATACAGTCTCATTTATACTACAGAACATTACACACAGAGCACAGAGAGAGATTTTACATATTCAGTGTTTGGGTTATAATATATCAGATCACATACTGTTAATGTTAAACTGTCAGAGGTTCAGTAATTTCTTAGGACTGGAACTGTTCCGAGTGATTAAACCATAGATACGACGCGTTGCCTGTTATTCTCTATGTGAGGCAATACGTCGGCGCGTCCGCCATGTTGGAGCGGTCAAGATCCGCTTATGAACAAATTCACTTGTATTGAGAGACGAAGAGTCTCAGGATTAAATCAGCCACAACTTCCTTATTACTCAACCGATTTTAACCAAATTTGTTCAGTTATAATCCTCAGACACAGATGAATCTATACTGCATGGACTGCCCTCAGTAGCTTTTATTACTTTAATAACTGATCGTGTTAATTAGCCGTCCAGTCCGGCTGGAAAGTATTCAGTCTGCACCTGATGTGAGTTTAGCATGAGCTCCGGTAAAAACACAATCAGCAAATCCATCAATGTGTGAATCACTTCCAATCTTTATACACAGAAGGACGAAGCTGAAGTTGGCTCTCTGTTTCCCAGCTTCTTGTTTGAGTTTTCCCGTTCCACCTTAAATGGCGCAGGAGTCACTTTCTGGTGCTTGAAGTTGCACCGTTTAAGGTGGAACGGATTAAGAAGTGCTGTAACTACAAGCATTAACCATAATTGTAAATAAATAACTACTACAAAAGTTAAGATTCCCTGAATAGACTATTAAATGAAATAAGCTTAATATAAAACCAGAGGAAAAACAATCACATCAACAGGTTCTCTGTGCTTCACCAACCACACAACATCACACAGACAATACGCATCACACACATGAGTGTGGATCACTGCGTTCATTCCGTTATATAATCCTATCTCACTTTCTGAGAGCAATATTCCTGAAATAGTGTAATTTTGGACAGAATCTTTCTTAAACTGCCGCTCTGTAATGGTTCCGAATGCAGTACAGCAGCGATGTTGACCGCCCTAAAATGGCGGCGCCGTTGACGTGCCCTGCTGGACCCAGCGCGGTATCTAGGTATGTATATCTATGGATACAAAGCCAGAGAAAATCATGGAGCTGAAGCATGCTTGAAAAGTAAATCTGCCATTACACCAAAGATCCATTAGAGGTCGCTGCAGTACTGTGTTAATTCACCCTCCACAGTCAAACCCTCATATGACTGACCTAGTTAACCCATTTCCTGTCTAACAACCGTATAGAATGCTGGGAACTTGTTCGTATTAGACTAAAACAAGGGTGCCCAAACTTTTTGTCATGGGGGCCAAAGTACAATGTTCGTGGCGGACCGAGGGTCAAAAAGAGGAAACAGTATACAAATAAAAAGTTTCAAATTAAGTTTTTAAGAATGTATTTTATAACATTACACTATATTTTGTTACTAAAATACAATGTTAAAAGGAAAGTAAGAGTTTAATATGTTATATATACACACACAGTAAAAAATCTGCATAAGTATCCAGATCTGGGATATTTACAAGGGTTGTGTTATGATCTATTTGGACCCAAAGCTTTAAAAGAGATATTAATAAGCTAAATATACACAAAATCATCATTTATAGGGTGCTTTGTATCAGGAGGTGTCCCAAACCCTAACCACTAATTTACAGTTGTAAAAATAATATTTTTTCTTTCATTTTTAAAGCTGTTTCTTTTACGGTGAAATTGAATGATTTAGATTTTTCCTGAGTTTAATTTTTAAATATAAAAAAACTTTATTTAAAAAAAAATGCTGTCCTATGTTTTCATATCAGTACAGAAACATACAGTGTTTTAGTCTGTGGGCAGAGCCTAATTTTAGCCACACCCCTGCAATGTAGCGCAGGAAGTGAGACTGCATCCCTGTCCCTCATGGCCACATGGTGAGCAGTTAGAAGTGTCCCAAAGTCTGAATGTCAGTGTGGAACATTAAGAACTGTCACTACCAAAACACATTTTCTGCAATTAAGTAAATTTTTGTGTTTTAATACAAATATTATAATTGTATTTGCGCGCACCACCAGCCAAGTTCTGCTCAAAATAAGCTAAAATTATCACTACCTAAACAGTCACTACTGAAACATTTAGAAAAGTTTCAGTAGTGATATGATTGTTTTGGGAGTGACAATGAAATGTTGTCATTTATTTTAATAAAGTAAACATAATTTTAAAAAAGCCTCTCGAAAATGTTAACTTTACAGGAGAAGGTGAAACCTCCTTTACTTTTAATGTAATTGAATGCAACGTTTTTTTCTGTAATAAATTTTGGTCAGCTTAGTCCAATCATCATGAACTTTGGACAGCTGCTCCAAAGGATGCAGAAAAAAATAAAAATTGAGGGTTTTTTTCTGGATGTTAATGATATGTTTGCTCTTTTCTTGTGGGCTGAACAAACGTCTTCATGGGCCAACTCTGGTCTGTGACCCACACTTTGGGCAGCCCAGGTTTAAAGTGATTAACTTTTCAAGAGTTCATATTTCTATTCACAACCACGTTTGGATTCTGTGATGCTTTGTTAAAACCAGTTTAAAAATTCAAAAAGGCTGATTAATAAAGTAATAAAAGCTGTGTAGTTTAACCAAATTGTGCTCAGGCTCAGAAAACAGACCCAACGAGACATAAAACTTCAGACACGAACATCGACATCTTTAACAGAGCACTAAGGTTGTGCATGACTTTTCTGCACAGATGATTTCATGTGTACGATCCTCTCTCCACAGTGTGGGGGTCAAAGGAGGGTGAAGTTTAAAGGTTATGTTAGAAATCACACCGTATAAACGGTAATTATTGATTCAGTTTGTCAGTGTGGGATTACAAAGACCCCCTGACAGGAATTCCAGGTTTCAAAAGGTTTTGCTTCATTCTGGACGCTGATAACCTCCCGTAAGCTCTTTCACCATCTCTCTGTATGTTCTAGACCACAGTTAGACCTGTTAAACATACTCTACTGACCACAGATGATTCAGCCTGCTTTACTCTCACATTCATTTCTTTTTGTTTTTTATACTATTTAAATTTGATGTACTGATAGGAACCAGGGGTCACCATGACTACAACACAAATATAGACATTTTATTTACTATCAAAACCACCAGCGAACCTACAGGAGTCTTCTGAGTTTATATTGAATGTTGATGATGGTAAAATCGTCATAAATCTGGAAAAATATATTTTCTGTAGGGACTATTTGGCCTTATTTTCCCTATATTCCCACCATAAATGGATTTTAAAAAATGTCTTTAAACTCATGCAAAACAGTGTCTCAGACATCAGGCAGTGAATTCATAACCATTTCATGTAATAGCTTTCTGTGAGGGAGCTTTTAGAGGTGGACGTCTGGTTCCTATCACCACCACTGTGAACATTTCTGACTCAGTAAGTTTCTCTAGAACAGAGTTTTTCACACCAAACCACTCTGAATGACTCTGTTTACATCTTAACCACTTAATTATGCAGTAATTAAAAAAAAACAGTAGGATTCCCCTTTAAAAATGCTGCCCTTTGCATTGTGAACAATATAATATATGCAATATATACAGTATATATACAGCTGTTGTTGCAAGAAAACCCTGCATCTCCATTTTTGACGTTTTTCAGTTTTGACATAATTTGAAAATACCTGTTGCTCTTTATTTTGTACATAAATTTCACAATGAATGAACCAAGAGAAATGACCCAAAATGACTTGGAAAAAAGTCTGATTCCATTGACTTACATTAAAAGTAAAGTAGGTTTTTTTCTTTTCCTGTAAAGTTGTCGTTTTAGAGATATGAGGTTTTCTTCCAACAACAGCGATATATATATACATAAATGGATGAATGAATGAATGATAAATGTTTGCAGTAAATAAAACATTCAGACTGGTTCTAGATACAGAGTTCTGCTGGTCTAGGCCTGAAGCTGACATGCAGTATTGATCTGTGTGTGTGTGTGTGTTTACACACAGGAGAGTCTCAGATAAGAGAGTTTAGAGAGTCCTGTGCTTCTTCTGCTGGGTCTCGTACTGTTTCACTAAACTGCAATGGCCTTTAATCCAACAGTGAGGAGTTTAGCACTTCATACCTTCTTCATCAGGTCAGTTTATTCACCTGTTTATTCCTTTTTACTGCGTTTGTTAAAGTAGCTGTTCGGTTTTCCTCTGATACCGTCAGCAAACATTATCTTACACTCCAGATGTACGATATTTGACATTTCCTCCTGCCTGATTTCTGGGACTGTACACTTATTTAAGTGAATGTGACTCATATCACTGCAAATCATTCAGTCGTTCAGAAGTTTCAGTCATTATAAATACAAAGACACATCATTCAACACAATGATTTACAAAGGCTGAATGGTTTAATGAACCTGTTTAGAGATGATAACAGTGTACTGGTGATTCTACATAGCGTCTGTGTTTGAATTTGTGAGTCATTTCAGACTTTTAAATGACTGACTTAAACTTTAGACTAAACTCTTTTTCTCTCCTTTTTCTTTGAGTGACCCTGTACCTTAATTATTTTTATATTATCAGCCCCTTTCATTGCAAAGGCCCTCCGGTGGGCCAGCCAGTTCGCACTGAAGTATCTTTAGTGACTGAATAATAAGCCTTAGTATGTAATAATCCTGGGATTTTACAGGGTTAAAATACATGATTGAACACTCATTTGTCACTACCAATACAATGAAATTTTACTAAATGTTTCAGTAGTGACTGTTTCTGTAGTGACAATTTTAGCTCATTTTGAGCAGAACTCAAAAATGCAGCCAGTACATGACTGACAAACACAGCCTTGAACAGCTGTTCACACTTAAAATCATATTTTTCATTAAACCACAAAAGTTTACTAAACTGCAGAAAATATGTTTCGGTAGTGACAATTCTTAATGTTCCACACTGATTTTCAGACACATTTACTTCAAAATCATTGGACCTCATTGCGCAATATCTTCTGAAGTTTGTTCTTAAAAGAAGTGTTCTTGAGAAGGTCCCAAGAAAAAGTCTCCGTCAGGTTCATGACGTGTTCTTAAAGCGCAGAACTGTTCTCACCTTTGTTCTCTTGAGTGTGTGTAGATTCTGTTCTTACCTAAGAACAAATCCCAGATAAGAGAACACTGATGAATGTCAGAATCTTCGTAAAAACTGCGTAAGTGGGTTTTAAGAAGAAATTTCTTCTTAAGAACGGTTGGTGAACGAGGCCCAATGTGATCTAACTGCTCACCATGTGGCCATGAGGGACAGGGATGCAGCCTCACTTCCTGCTCTAAAATGCAGGGGTGTGGCTAAAATAAGGCCCCACCCACATACTAAAACTCTTTGTGTTTCGGTAATGACATGAAAACACGGGACAGCAATTTTTGAATAAAGTTTTTTTTTATTTAAAAATTTTACTTATAATCAATTTAAATATTAACTTCACTTTATAATGAATGAAAAACATCTTTAAAATAAACATTGAAAAATGTATCATTTTCACAAATGTAAATTGAGGGGTTAGATAAAGGGGTTAGGGTTTGGGACAGACTCTTTCCAGTAGAAAGAGCCCTATAAATTATGGTTTTGTGTATATATTTATGTGTAGTGTATTACTGTCTCTGTAAATGTCTTGGGTTTAATTAGATAATAACATAATCCTGGCCTGAATCTAAGGCCTGAATACTTCATTGTTTTTTAAATGGCATTTTTACTGTGGAATTGATTGAACTAATTTGGTAGAATTGTCAATATACAGTACTGAGTGCAAAAGTCAGAGACCACCATTAATTTGACTTAATTTACATTCAAGACAGCCATTAAGTACAAGTTATGAGCATCTTTTGAGCATCAGGAGAAATAAAACAGAAAACACATACATTTAATAGTCAATTTAATAGTCAGTTAGGTACCGTCTGTATAGGGGGACGTAATAATTATACTTTACTAATAGTAAGAAGGTAATCACCAGGCTAATTGCTACATCATTAAGCAATAACTAGAGTGAATTTCCAGAGTTTTATTTGTATATTAGGAAATATAGTGTATAGGTTACACTATACACCAGAGGTCACAATGAGCACTGAGACTCGAGTGAGTGACGCACACACAGGGGAGGGACGAGGCGAGAAACAGCAGTCAGAGAAGAAAGTGAGTCAGAGAGAAGTTATTCCACATGTCATGCTCTAAAAAGAGAAAACTGACAATAAATATTGTTGAAATATGACTGAACTGTACTTTATTTGAATTATTTTTATTTATTTATTCAGTTGTTGACTGTATAAGATGCTGATATACCTACTGGGCTACTTCAGTAAACAGTATATGGCACTGAATCATGATGCAGGTTAGACATTATGATGTTCTGGACCTTCGCTTGAGGAAATTTTCTCTATCTGGACCTTATTGACACCGCGACCCAGAAGGATAAGCGGTGATGGATGGATGGATGGATGGATGGAATTTTAATTAAAGACCCCAATCAACACTATTTAAAATGTGCTTTACTGTGTTCTCAGCATAAAAAAGAAAACATAAAATAGAATTTAAATAAAGGAGGCTCTGCACTCTGGTCTCAAACAGGTACTTAAGTCCAAGGCCAAGACTTAATTTGTGGTATTGAGACCCTAAAACTACAACTCTATAGCACATACAAATAAAAGTGCTGTAGAACAACCTTCTCCATGTCAAGGTCCACCTTTCTGTCACTAGAAAGCATAAAGGCCGACAAAAAAACCCAAAGTTCAGTCTTAGAAGTTGGTTACATTTTCTGCTTCTCACAATCCAAGAAATCTCAAACACATTCAGTGATGTTAAGGTCTGGACTCTGGGGTGGTCAGTCCATTGTTCAGCTCCTTTGTTTCAGGTGTCCGTCTCCTTTTCTCAGTGAGGTTCTTCTTGATCAGCTATACATCCTTTCAGACCCACAGCGCTGAGTCGTCTTCTCACAGTGGAAGGATGGACAGAAACACCTGTAGATGTTTTCAGATCTGAAGCAGCTTGATCTTCTCCTCTCTCTCAAAGACGAAAGCTTTAAGTGCTGTTTATCTGATGGGGGCAGTTTCGGTGTCTACCAGGTCTTCTGGGTGGTTGTTAGGAGCCTCATTTTCTCTGTAGCTTTTAATCAGTTTTTGAACTTCAGTTTTTGGAAACTCCTGTTTTTTTCACAGTGGATTATCTTAAATCTTCTCTCCTCACAAATATCTCCTGAAAAATGAATAACTTGTCCTTCATGGCCTTTTAGATAAACTAAATCAAGTAAATGAAGGGTGGTCTCTGCCTTTTGCACTGTATTTATTAGTAAGTAAGTACTGTGCACAGGTGGGATTTCGACACTTTATCTTTAAATAAATGCTTCTTTAGAAGCTTTGACGGCTTGATTTTGACTCAAGGAGCCTTTCCTTTAAACACACCACACACCTGCACAAAAATATCAGCATCTTTTCATTTTTTTCTCACCCCAAATGTACTTGATCCAGGGAATGTAGCTAACAAGTAACGGAAGCTGCATGCTTACATCATGTTGTTGCTCAGTAATCTCTAATACGCTTGTTTGTGTGGTTTCTGACACTGATGTACTGATGTCTATAAACATGATCAATAATACATCACATAACTAAAACCTGAGCTCTGAATCTTAAATCTCATTTTACCCGTCGTCCATTTGGGGTAATAGGAAATCGGGTACCTTGTATTTTGTGTCAAACTATTGCTTTACGAGTGTCTAGTGAAGTAAATCTGACAGATCTGGTTGTTGAAGTACGTGTCTAAATCTTGCTGTTATAAATGTCTCCATAAGTCTGGCTGTCATAGTGGGCGGTCAGCTGGAAGACCGAGTGCAGCTGCGGCCCCCTCTGGACCCTGTGGACTGCGCTCTGTCTGAGTGGTCTTCATGGACACGCTGTGTCCCCTGCCTCAAAAAGAGGGTGATTCATACACACACACAACACACACACAGAGCTTCCCACTTAGGGGGTCCATGGAAGCCCCCTAAAATCTTTAGGGGAACCTCATATGGATACTGACACAATTGTTCACCCTTGACTCACAGAAAGATCCAATTTCTTATCAACACACCAGCCTGACAGTTACCTTCCACCACCACTACAACACTGCACAGACAGAACTGACGGGCTGATTAACTTTATTGCTCTCTCTCTCTCTGTCACTTTTCTCTATCTCTCTCTCTCTCTCTCTCTCTCTTCTCTGTCTCTCTCTTTCTCTATCTCTCTCTTTTCTCTCTCTCTCTTTTCTCTGTCTCTCTCTTTCTCTTTCTCTCTCTTTTCTTTCTCCATCTCTTTTCTCTGTCTCTCTTTCTGTCTCTCTCTCTCTGTCTCACTCTCTTGTCTTTCTCTCACTCTGTCTCTTTTCTCTGTCTCTCTCTTTCTCTGTCTCACTCTCTTGTCTTTCTCTCACTCTGTCTCTTTTCTCTCTCTCAGTATCGCTTTGCTAGGTTGGTGCAGCTGTCTCAGTTCGGAGGGGAGCCGTGTCATGAGCTCGGCCATCAGGAGGAGTCCTGCACCCCCCCGCCCCGCTACAGCTGCCAGAGCAAGAGCCCACTCTGCCAGGGCTTCGTCTGCACCAGCACAGGTCACACAACCATCACACAACCATCACAACTAACTACAAACCATTATAAAACCAAACTACACCATCATACAACTAACTACAAACCATTACAAAACCAAACTACACCATCATACAACTAACTACACAGCCATCATACAACCAAACTACACCATCATACAACTAACTACAAACCATTACAAAACCAAACTACACCATCATACAACTAACTACACAGCCATCATACAACCAAACTACACCATCATACAACTAACTACACAGCCATCATACAACCAAACTACACCATCATACAACTAACTACAAACCATTACAAAACCAAACTACACCATCATACAACTAACTGCAAACCATTACAAAATCAAACTACACCATCATACAGCTAACTACACAGTCATCACACAACCATCAGATAACTAACTACACAACCATCACACAACCAAACTACACCATCATACAACTAATTACACAACCATCACAAAAACAAACCACGGCCATCAGACAACCAAAGTGCAACTAACTACAAACCATTACAAAACCAAACTACAACCATCATACAAGTAACTACACAACCATCACACAACTAAACAACAATCATTCCACAACAACTTTTTGAGCAAAAATAATCACACAACTGCACAACCATCACACGACCAAACAACAACCATCACACAACTTTACACAACCACACTAAAACCAAAACACAACTGCAACATTCACACAAGTACTACACGACCATTACAAAACCAAACTACAACCATCACACGAGTACTACACAACCATCACACAACCAAACTACAATCATCACACGAGTACTACACAACCATCACACAACCAAACTACAACCATAACACAACTGCCACACAACCATCACATAACCAAACTACAACCACCACACAGCCAAACAAGCATCACACAACCAAACTACAACCATTACTCAATCATACTTCAACCATCACACAACTACTACACAACCATCACAAAAACAAACCACAACCATCAGACAACCAAACTACAACCAAAACACAACTGCCACACAACCATCACAAAACCGAACTACAACCATCACACAGCCAAACATCAAGCATCACACATTACTCAATCAAACTACAACCATCACACAACTACTACACAAACATCACAAAAACAAACCACAACCACCACACAACCAAACTACAACCATAACACACAGCCAAACATCAAGCATCACACATCACTCAATCAAACTACAACATCACACAACCAAACAACAACCATAACACAACTACTATACAACCATCACACAACTACTACACAAACATCACTCAATCAAACTACAACATCACACAACCAAATAACAACCATAACACAACTACTATACAACCATCACACAGCTGTCCCATTACTACTGTCAGAGCCCAGTTCTCAGAGTCCAGCCTGTCAGGGCTTTATTATTTTTATTGTTTAACCATCTTCTAAGTGTAAATAAATGAACACATCCTCTACAGGGAGCAACATAATATGGAATATTTCTGTTTTTGGCAGCTCGTCATGTACATCATGTATAACAATCTGGAGTTGGTATCTGGTTTTTGATTGAATGTAACCTTGAATGCTTCTAAGTAAAATCTACATCATGCAATGCCATCTGGAAATGATTTGACTGGGAGGAAATTAATTAAGCACCAAGAAAAACAAGAAGATCAAGACACACTTATCAAATAAAGAAGCTGCTGGTGTTGTCAAAACAATGGGCTGACCTCCCCAGAGTCCAGACCTCTACATCACTATATCACTTGAATCAAGAGAAGCAGAAAGTGCAACCAACTCCTAAGACTTTTGAGGTGTGGAAACTAAAAGCAGATTTTTCTGAAAAACTGAAAGCAAGTCTCCTAAAAAGGATGATGAGGACACATGAAATACTGAAATAAATTGTATCATATTTAGTTATTATATATTATATATATTGAGGCTTCTGTGTAATTTTGTGTGTAAATATGTTTTCAGCTTTTTTTCCTGATGCTGAGAGATGAAAAACTTGACCGTTTTCACTAGAAGTCAAATAAACGAAAGGGTGGTCTCTGGCTTTTGTGCAGGCCGTTGTGTGTTGGAGGGTCTGCGCTGTAACGGTGATGATGACTGTGGTGATGGCTCTGATGAGCAGGGCTGTAAGAAGGTGTTTCGAGCCTGCAGTGAGCCCACCGAGGAGTACTACGGCATCGAGAACCTGGCCAAAGGGTGCGTATGTGAGGGATGTACAGTCTTCAGGGAAGGGAAGGAAGAACCTTCACTGGGTCGGGATGACGTGTCATTTCGTACTGCACTGCCAGTCTAGTTTCTCTGTACCTGCCATGCTCAACTAACACAGAGGAAGGTCATGTTTTACTCCCTAATTTACTTCCCCTGGTGGGATGGGAACTCAGATATTTTTGACTATTATCATCAGAAAAAATATTTCTCCCTGTAACTCTGATGAATTAGGACACTGTTGTCTCTCTGTGCGTGAAATGTCTGTGTTGAGCTGCTAGCAAGCAATGAGGGGTGAAGGGGGAGGGGTGAGAACCCCCTGCTGTAAAAACAATACACATTTCTGTCATTCAGATATACTCCATCACTAGTCACGTTTACATGCAGCCTGGTAATCCGACTCTCAGAATAGAATACATCCGTATAAACACCTCAGTTGGAATAGTCTAGTCCGATTGAGGCCATCCGATTGAACGTGGTGGGTAATCCTGTCAATAATAATCTGTTAAATAGAAGAATAATAGCCGTGTAAACACCTGTATCTGATTACATTCCCTATCGGAAAGTCCATTCTGATCATGTGTGTCACGTCATAGTGAAAGTTTATAACGTTCAACATGGCCGAGCAGAAACTGGTCTGCAGAGGAGACGAAGTTTATGCTCTGATCTTTAAAAGACGGCGGTGGGACGGGCGTCCAGCTTATGTGTCTCAGAACACGACGTCTTCCTCTCGGCCTTCTTTAATAAGGACGTGAGGTACATTTTTCTGAGTCTGACATCATTTTAAAGCGATTAGAAACACAAGCACTGCTCACTGCTGTTCATCTCACTCTGACTGGACTCACGTGATGCTTGTTGTCATGGTAACGTCTACACTAAGTGGTTCTCTATGCATGCATGTCATTTTGAATCAAACATGCATTGAACATTACATTGTAGTGTGAATGTAAACAGAGATTTTCCATCAGATTGTTGAGTAGAGTGAGAATATAAACACCACGAGCACTGACCAACATTCCTTTGTTGTAACACTTGTATAATGATAACAGTCACTGTATTGATTTTTAGGATCAATGTCCTGAACAGTAACTTGGAGGGGTTGGTGCTGGATAATCGCTACTTTGCCGGCGGCTGCCTCCCCCACTACATCCAGGACATACGCTTCAGGAAACCATACAATGTCCAACAGTACACACTCGAGGCAAGTCTTTCACTGCACACCATACTGTTGTTCATGCTTTGAAAGGACCTGTGTAAATTAATTCTGCGTAAATTCTTTGCTTTATTTAATAAAAAAGAATCTGATATACAGTACTGTGTGAAATGTCCAAGACCACCCTTCATTTATTTATTTTGCAGTTAACCCCTTAAAAGGCGGGGTCCGCCAGCAGGCCCAAAGTTTTATTACACACTTCTAAAACCTGAGAATAGTTCAGCCAGTTTGCACTGTAGTTACTGAATAATAAGCCTTAGTATGTAATAAGCCTGGGATTTTAAGGGTACAAGGAATTTTCAGGGTGCTAAGATGTGATTGGCCAGAATATCTTCAAGTTCACATGAGATATCCTCACAGAATGGGTAAACAGGCACTGGGCAGGCTAATCTCCATTTGGAAAAGCGAAAGTAGTGTGGAGAGATTCATCGCTTTGTTCAGAAGCTGAACCTCTCAGTGCTTCTCCCTGACGCTCTTAGAGAGTTTCTCCTTTTGAGTTCTGGGGCTGTATTACAGAAAATTCTTATCTTTTTGTCTAAACTTAAGATCTGACAGGTCAAGATAAGATTTTTCACAAATTTGTATTACAGAAGCAAATCTGATCTTAATTTAAGAATCTTATCTTATCTTGCAGCATCTTTTCTTATCCGAAGTTAGGAAATTTTAACTTACTCGATCAAAGTCGACAATCAACTGTCGTGTCTGTTACCTAGCAACCGACCATAGCCCTGATAGCAAGAGGATAGTGGACCACTGTCGGCCCACTGATGGCAAATCTGGTGGTCCACTGGTGTTTTGCTCAGGGTTTTCTGGGCAGCCCACCAATGGGTAAGCAGAGTATTAGACAAAATTCCATTTATCATCACTCATTTCCCCTCACAGTCCGATTTACTGATTTTTCCTTCTTCCTTTCTTTAGTTATTCTTTATAAATTAGTTTAGTAAATCATTTCAATCTATCACAGCGTCATCAACAACATTTACTATAAAAATCATTTTATATCAGGCCTAGTCATGATTTTTTTCTCTCTCAGTTGTTTGTAATATTTGTCTATTTTATGTGCAATTAAAATTTGTTTGGGGAGAATAAGAACTTAGAGCTATGCATGATGCAATAATCTGGGTGGTCAGAGGATGGACCAGCAGTGGCAAACAAGTCAGTGGGGTGCCGACCTTATCAAGTCAGCGGACCAGTATATGCTCACACAGCTGAGACGTAAATACGTAATCAAGTTAGTTAGTCAGACAGCTAACGATATCTACCATTATTGGTGTAAAGAAAGTCAAATAAAACTAAAGCGCGATAAACTGAAAGGTAAGAATATTGTGTCCAGTTTCAGTCTCCATTTCCCAAACGCTTTAGCCGAGTGCACTAACGTTATTCCTCCTAACACACTTTCAGCTCTGACACACTTTCAGCTCTGTCTTCTCGTTATTTACCACCATCACTGGAATATTTTATCTGATGAGTTTTCATCAACAATAACACCCAAAGGTGATAAGCGGGGATGGTGGAGATCGTGTCTGCAGCGTCTGAGGCTTTTAAACGCTGTTAGAAAATAACTCACAAGTGAAAGCACCGTTTTCAGTGTAGATAAATATAGCATCTTTATGCCAGTTATAGTGAGCTGTGCTGCCTTTCACTGCATAAAACAATATAAACATATGATTAAAACAGAAGTTAAGACGCTCTCAGGTTTATCTTACAGTTAAGAAAATATTTAGGATATTTTGGCAACTTAGGATGTTTCTGTAATACGGTTTTACCTGCAAATAAGATAAGATTATAGACTTAAGAACTGTTGTTCTGTAATGTCCTAAATTCAGTCTTAACTGAAGTCGCCATGACAACAAAGCAGATAAGATATGATCTCAGACTTACAAATTTTCTGTAATACGGCCCCTGGTTCCTGTCAGTGGTTCTTCTTCATGCTTTTAGAGAGTTTTTCATTTTATGTTTATGAGTTTTGATTCTTGGTTCCTCTCAGTGTCTTACTCATGCTCTTAGAGGGCTTTTCTTGACAGTGTCTCTATCAGCAATGCAAATTAGCATCTGTTGCAGAAATACAGAAATTCAAATGCACACAAGCATATATACAATATACAGTTGAAAACAATACAGCATAGTGTAAGTCTTATGAAGGAAGGCGAGCCTATACACCGATCAGGCATAACTTGTTTTTACGCTCATTGTCCATTTTATCAGCTCCAGCAGCACTGCTGTGTCTGATCCACTCAGACCAGCACAACACACACTAACACACCACCACCACATCAGTGTTACTGTAGTGCTAAGAATGATCCACCACCCAAATAGTACCTGCTCTATGAGGGTCCATGGGGGACCTGACCACTGAAGAACAGGGTAAAAGTGGTCTTTTAGAACTGAGCTGCTCTACTTGCGAATGAAGATTCTCAGTGAAAACAAGCTGACGGCTTTGGGCAGACAGAGATCACACTGTGTGTGTAGAGCACTGACAAACCAAATAACAGCCGAATGAAGAATACAGAGCTGTATAAATAACAGGATGCATAAAGGATGTACAAAATGATGAATACGGGGTGTGGAGGATGTGCAAATCTATAAAGCTGCTAAAAATTTCAAACGTGAATGATTTTTTTTTCTTCCTGTTTCCAGACAAAAGGCTCACACGAATTCAAGCTTGAGTCTTACAGCTCGTACACAGACTTTGTTGAGGAAACTATGAGAGCCTCTCTGTCCAAGACCAGCGTCTCCTTCGGCTTCTCTTTGGGAGGATTCTCACTCAGCTACGACTATAACGACGAGCAGTACAAGAAGTCTGTGAAGAAGCTTCGGCAGTTTTCTGGAACGGTAGGAGTACAAGACTGATGAGGGTGAAGGAGAAGAGAACAGAGGGATGAATTACCTTATAATAATAATAATAACAAAAAAAAACAATGCCTAAAGAAATTCAGTCCAGTCTTAGTGTAATTTATCTTGCCTGTTAATTTTATTGATATCAATACATATCAACATCTAAATATACAGTGGTGGTGATAAGAACCAGATGGCCATGATGAGCACAACAAAAATGTAGCCATTTTATTTGCTACTGACTTATTTACCACCAGTGAACCTACACGAGTCTTCTGAGTTATTATATCGCTACTGTCGGAAGAAAACCTCATATCTCCATTTTTGTCAATTTTCAGTTTTTGACATAATTTGAAAATGCCTGTCGGCCTTTACATTGTCTCAAAATTTCATGATGAATGGATTAAAAGAAATGCCCCAAAATGACTTGGAAAATATTCTGGTTCCATTGACTTTCATAAAAGTAGAAGTTTTTTCCTTCTCCTGTAAAGTTACCATTTTAGAGATACAAGGTTTTCTTCCGACAACAGCGATATGTAGTGTTGATGATGGCAAAATAGTGGAAAATCCGAAAAAATATGTTTTCTTTGGGGGACTGTTTTCCTTACAACACCCTCCATGCACCTCTCCACCTTGAATGGATTTTAAAAACATATTTATTATGATAAAACTGTCTCAGACATCAGGCAGTGAATTCATAACCATTTTATGTAATATTTTTCTGGGAGGGAGCTTTTAGAGGTGGACGTCTGGTTCCTATCACCACCACTGTGAACAATTCTGACTCAGTAAGTTTCTCTAGAACAGAGCGTTTCACACCAAACCACTCTGAATGACTCTGTTTACATCTTAACTATTAAATTTAATCTTAACCATTAAATTATGCAGAAATTATGAACATAATATTTGGAATTCCCTTTTAACCAACATGTCGTTGGCCAGTCAGGACATGTTTGGTGTCTGAAGTTTGCTTCATTAGTTTAGCACTCGAGCTACAAGGCTAATGTAGCTTACACGCAATGGGAGCTTTACAGCCCACCAATTAGCAAAGTGCAGTTTTTAAAATGTATTATTGCTATTTTTTATAAATATGTAACTGCTTATAGAAACATGCCCTTTTCTTGGGATGCAATACTTCATAAAAAATATGAAAAACATGTAAAAAAATATGTTTTTCAAGTAAAAATGTTGGACTGTTTCTGTAATGGTGAGCTTTTTACCTAAAATTATCGCTGCCATTGGGATGTTTACAGCTGTATGCAAAAGTTTTAGCACCCTGGTCAAAGGACTTTTTTTTGTTGATTTTCTAAGTGTAAATAAGTGAACACATCCTCTACAGAGAGCAGACTTCTGCAATTTTAATACACAATTACTGTTTATTTACTGAATTGAATATATTTGGGGAAGAAAACAACATAAAATGCGCCCTGTGAAAAAGTTATTTGTTTTTTTTTTATGTGTTAAACAGAAATAATACAGAGAAAATTCAATTTATAAGTTTGTTCCCTGTAGATGATTAACTTATTTTCACAAATCAACAGAACATGTCATTTGACCAGGGTCCAATTCCAAGCAGCACCAATTCAAGACCTTGAGTTTCATTCAAGTTAATATTAAGTATCAAAATAGAAAGAGGGGAAAGTCTATTGCAAACTACAGTTCGGTTCCTCAGTCCTGCTCTGCTGTCTGTGCCCTCTGCAGGACAGCCAATTCATCCATGCCCACTCTCAGCTCGAGCTGGCGCGCTATGTTCTAAAGACAGACGGTCTGATGCTGCACCCGGACTTCCTGTCCCGCCTGCGTGCTCTGCCGCTGGAGTACACGTACGGAGAGTACCGCCACCTCTATAACGACTACGGCACCCATTATATTACAGAGGCTACGCTCGGGGGAGACTTCGATTACACCCTCATCATCAGCAATCAGGATCTGAAAAAATCTGGTGAGAGCAAAACAACCAATTCACCTCTTATAGTTCCACTTGCTGACCACTTCATGAGCTGTACCTACATCATGGGTCAGGGGTTGGCAACCCAAATGTAAAGAAGAGCCATTTTGTCCTTTCAGCAAAAATCTAACCACCGTGGGAGCCACAACATTTTATGTCCATTTTACTTGTCTGTAAATATGTGTCAGTGTGTGCTGATGTCCTAGTAGAGGGTAAAAAAATGAATATAAAAGAAAACGCAGACTTACTTTGCTCTGCTTTAAGCTTTAGCTCAGCTGTAGCTGCTTTTCTCGCATCTCTGGCAGGAAACTTTTTTGCAAAAGCAGAATAGTTTCTTGTAAAATGTCTCTCAACGGCGACTTTTTACGAGGTTCATTCGCGGCTTCTTGTTCGAATTTTCATGCTCCACCTTAAATGGTGCCTGACGTGCCAGAATGTAACCGCTGCACCATTTAAGGTGGAACGGAATAATTCAAACAAGAAGCTGGCGAATTAGAAACTGACTTCAGCTTCGCGACTTTTTAGTCAGTTTCTCTCTGCAGATTAAACGTATCAGGAAACCAGCTGGAGTGATTATGAATGCAAATGAGTCCATTCATCTCCTAGCTAGGCAAGACTGTTTTCTTCATTGCTGTGACCAGCAGTCTTCGTGCCAAATTCAGGGTTAAAGGGTGAATTAGCAGTTATAGGCTACTTTAACTCCAGCGTTCAAGACCATTTAGTGTCAAAACTGTGTTAGAATGATCAGCAGAGCTTTATTTTACTGAAAAAGAGGATTATTTTATTTTTACTTAAAAATCTAATTCTGCTGTGGAGCCGCAACAGGGACAGTAAAAGAGCCACATGAGGCTCTGGAGCTGCATGTTGCCCAGCCCCATCATGGGTCCACTAAATGGATCATACTACCAAATTAGCTCAAACTGTGGCCCCACAGTGAAAGTACTCATTAAAAAACAATTAAGTATACAGACCATAGATATTTACATCATTTATATGGTACTTTCTATGGGAAGGTTTCTGTCCCAAAAACTAACACCTAAATTTCACCTTGTGAAAATAATACTTTTCTTCTGCTCTTTTTGATTTCTTTAAAAGTTGAAAGATTTAGATTTGTCATGAGTTTAATATTTAAATGAAAAACTGACCAGTGGCTAGAGCAGGGGTCTCAACCTTCCAGACCACGGGCCACATCTAGCCCATGAGACAGCTTCATACAACCCATCACATACAGTCATGTGCAAAAGTTTGGGCATCCCTGGTCAAAGTTAACATCCTGTACAGAGAACATACTTCTGCACATTTTATGACAATTACTGTTTATTTACTCAATTAAACATTAAAATATATTTTATATTTATGTTTTATTTTACATTTTTACATTTTAAATTATTTTATATTTTATATCACATTTTATATTTTAGGTTTCATTTTTTTTCCAACATGTTAAACTCAGCAAATAAATATAAACATGTACTAAAATTTGCAAAAGAAAAAATATGTAAGTGTGTTCTCTGTAGAGAATGTGTGTGTAACTTACTTTCACTTAGAAAATCAACAACAGTGTCACTTGACCAGGGGTGTTCAAACTTTTGCATACTGTATATGTTTGCAAAACATAAATCCAGTTAATTTTATTTCAGGCAGTTAAAATTCAAATTATTTTCTTCCTGCATTTTATTTAATGTTAGATGAAAAACTTTATGTGGGTAAAATTAATACTTTCCCCACATTTTTTCAACTGCCTAACACCCACCCCCCCGTTTGAGAAGCCCAGCTAGTGGCCCTCAGGTCATTTGAGTTTGAGACCTCTGGGCTAGAGGATGACCACCGCAAACGTGCATCAGCAGATGAGTTACTGTCCCTAAATGTACATGAGCAAGATGGCGACACAAGAGAGGTGTTTCTGATAAAGTGGCCAGGGAGTGAATCTCAGAGTCTTTTATGTTGGAATTATCCTCTAGAACATGGGCTCCCAAGCTTTACATCTCACAGCCCTCACAAATGACCACAAAAGCTTGCAGGGTCTACAAGAAGAATGATCTGATCATTTTTCTGACTCACCAAATGAGATAGCTGATCTTGTTTGGCAGCTACCGAGTGCTGGACTTGAGGCCGAAGAGGGAGAAAGCTGCAAACAGAGTATTGGCTCAGTTCAATAGGTTTAGGACTCACTATGTTTAGTCTCAAAGTGATGGTATAAACTGTTTCAAAGCTTTGTGTGGTTGCAGTTCTCAGGCTGTGCAGGCTACTCACTGCTGTAATCTCTTTATTTGGGTTTCTGCTTGGGGCAGTCGTGGGCTGGAGGTTAGGGAACCAGCCTTGTGTCCGGAAGGTCACCAGCTCGATCCCCTGAGCTAACAGGACATGACTGAAGTGCCCTTGAGCAAGGCACCCAACCCCCAACTGCTCCCCAGGCGCTGTGGAAAGAGCTGCCCATGGCTCTGGGCAAGTGTGCTCACTGCCCCCTAGCGTCAGTGTTCGCTAGTGTGTATGTGGTGTTTCACTGCACAGATGGGTTAAATGTGGAGGTGAATGTCCGTGTTGTGGGACTAATAAAGGGTAACTTATTAAACTTACTTATTACTTATGCTTGGTTGAGAAACAGTGGCCTCTTCCCATGTAGATGGTCCAGCCTCAGTTTTACACTGACTTGCACTGAAAATATATATAAGCATAACGAGCTGGCATTTGCCAGAACAGCCAATGAGCTCAATATAAATACAACTTTTTATTTTTGAGAAAAATATAAACAATATATTCATACTTTAAATACGTTTGATTAAGATTGTCTATGTTGTAACAAACTTTGAAAGTTAAACAAAAACCCTAGCAGTGCCACCACAGCCAACTGGGGGGCCGTGGCTCACGTGTTGAAAAGCACTGCTTTAGAAGACCTCGAGCAGGGGTACCCAGTCCTGGTCCTGGAGATCTACCACCCTGGACAGTTCAGATCCAGCACACAAGGTTCTAATTTTCCGAAGCTCCTGAAGCTTCATTACCTGGATCAGGTGTGTTATATTAGGGGTGGAGCTAAACCCTGCAGGGTGGTAGATCTCCAGGGCCAGGTTTGGGCAGCCCTGATGTCCTTTCTCCTCTCTTGATGTGCGAGCGTGTCTGTGTTCTGTGCTTCTACAGGTTACAGTCTGGATGATGTTAAGAGATGTACAGCAGTGGGATTTAAAATTGGGGCGATAATCCAAGGAGTGCCTGTGTCTGCAGGGATGTCATCGGAAGACTGCTCCGGTCTGCTGAAAGAGTTTGGAGGTGAGGGGCCAGTGCATAAAAACATGCTACACTGTTTACCTGATTCAGATTAAAATAAAGGCCAGCGTCTGAACCTCAAAAGTCAATAAGCCACGAGAGGTTGGGCGTTACTGCGATTTTATCACGGGGAAGGGTGTTCTTAGGCACGATGAGTTTTCTTTCGAAAAGCTTTTGTGTTATTTGTGTTCAATTTCTATTGTTAGCGTAATGCTAACTTTTGCTACATAATGCTAATCAGGCAGTGTATTCATAACCATTTTCTGTAGTGACTTCATGTGAGGGAGGTTTTAGAGGCATTAAACTCTTTGGGTGACTATCACCACCACTGTGAACAATTCAGACTCTGTACGTTTCTCTAGAACGGAGCATTTCACACCAAACCACTCTGAATGACTTTTTTTGACTCTCAGCTAGGGCTGGGCGATAAAATGAGGACAATAATTATTGCAATATAACTTTCTTTGATAGAAATATAAAAAATGTTCGCTAAATGTTTGATACAGTAGACCATTCTCACACTTCCAGTCTAGCGACAGCACTGGTGACGTTTTCTACTGCAAGACTCTGCTCTGTTGTTACCATGAGAGGGCGCACTTGTGAGTTTTTGACAAAATGGGTCGCCAGTTATTCTTTGTTCTATCGCTCACACACACACACACACACACACACACACACACACACACACACATACACACACACACATATATATATATATACACATATATTGTCTGGTATTCATTTGGTGTTTGCACCATAACAATCACGCAGAAATTTTAAGGGGAATTCCCCTTTAACATGAAAGACATCTCTTCTGGAATGATTTAATCTTGCTAAGCTCAGATTGGCTTTTGGCTTTACATGGTAAAACGTTCATGCAACTAGTTGCATGTTGTGACTTGCCTGCAACATAGTTTTTGTGCAACTCAACAGTTACATGAAGTCATTCAAAATCAAAGTTGCACGCAACACATTGATTATTCCACTAGTTAACCACATTAGCAGCTTGTATTTTTTCTTTTGCTTTTTTTAATGACATAAATGTGCTGCTATTGCTCATAAACAACCACACAATAAATCACCTTTATTTTCCTGTTCATTGATCCGGTGAAATCAACGGTTTGAAAGTATGTCAGTCAACATGATCACATGATGTGTTATTGCCATTTTGATTGACACTTGCAACTGTTTTCAAATGTGTTTCAAATAAGTCGCAGGACGCTTTACATTATGCAACTCAAGTGCAATTTGGTTTTATGTGTTTTTGTTTTTCAAATTTTCTAAATCTTATCTGGTCGTTATCTGGATATGAGTCCCATGAAATAGCAGCCCTTTGCTCACTTTTGCCTGTGGTCTTTACAGTGTAGCTGAAGTATGATAACTCTGTCCAGCAGTACACAATGATGTCTCCTATGTTTTGGAGCTTTTACTCCATATAAACACAGTTTGCGGTTGCTGGCGTGGGCACGTTCCAGTTTCCTCCCTTTCAATGATGCACACAAAACTACAGCAGTTCTGATAGCTCCCTCTTGTGGAGAATCAATAGTCTGCTGAATGCGAGTGAATCAGTGTAGAATGTTAATTACAAGCCATGTCTATGATGTGCTTTTCATAAAAAAATGAAATGAAAAATTCTAGCTGATAAACATTCTGCCGTGGCAGGTTGATGCTGTGTCTTTCTATTTGTCACTCCATTTTATAAATGAGTTACAGCTACTAAACTTCGACTGTACTTTTATTCAGACTCGGAGGATCGGTCTTCAATCCTGAAGGAACATGTCGCCGTGGTGAGAGGGGGCGACAGTGAGACGATTTCCCGCTTGGCCGCGAAGGAGCTTCCAAACCCAGATATCATGCAGCGGTGGGGGGACGCTGTTTACTACAACCCCGACTTCATCCGCACCAAGGTCAGAGCAACCAGGCATACGGGCAGATCCTCACTGTCCAGTGCAAATTCACTTAAAACTGATTTCAGAAAAAATCTAATGTGCACATTTTTTCTCTTATACCAAATATAGTCAATATATAGTTTGGATACAGTCTGGAATCCAAAATTTCCTTCTTTAATTTTGCATTGGTGCTACTAACAAGTGATGCAGTCACTGCTAGAAAAACTGTGGCATGGCTGGACATGCCTGGTCACCAGCAAAACCAGCGGTTGCATGTTGAAATGTTTAAGATGACCTCATTAACAGAAATGTTTTGCTCTAAAATTGTTTGTTATCTCAATATTTCACCACAACAGGGTGGACAGCTTAAGCTTGACCTCAACTTTCCTAATTTAAATAGCTTGATATTTTTATGAAAATGGCAGATTGCTTAAATTATTAACAATTATCTTTAAAACTTTAAGAAAATGTAGAAATTTTTTAAAGGTTGTGTTCTCTCACCATTTTAAAGAGTCATTCAGCTTAACCATGCAGCACCTCAGACATGTCAAAATCCCTGTCTCCATCGAAGAAAATGGGATAAAATGTATAAAATGATTTTTTAAGTGAAAGTTAACATGGCTATATATTCATAATAATGTGTTCAAAACTTGAAAAATTGTTTCACAATGTTTGTATGGTTTTTAAACGACTATGCTGGGGACACCAAAAGCACATTATGAATATTAACAAAAAAAAAATCGTCATTCTTTATGATTTTTGGCTTATTTTCATAAGTTGAGCTCAGCAGCTTTTCATTGTGTGAAAATTTCATAACAACTGGACTAAAATTAAAGCTCCAAAATTGCTTCTAATGCAATCACTTTACATTAACTTACATTAAAAGTTAACCCCCTACATGGCCAGGGCCCGCCGGCAGGCCCAAAGTTTTATTACACACTTCTATAACTCAAGAATAGTTCAGCCAGTTTGCATTAAAGTCCCTGTAGCTACTGAATAATAAGCCTGAGTATGTAACAATCTGGGATTTTAGGGGGTTATAGGAACATTTTGCCTTCACCTGTAAAGTTACCATTTTGGAAATACTTGTTTTTCTTTGGACACTGACAATATGTTACGCTTGGTCACCTGGCATGGTCATGCTGCTTGACCACCTAGCACCAGGCCAGCACTAGACCAGCATAAACTAGCTTAAACAGGCTTAGACCAGCATGGAATGCATGCTAGTCTGTGCTGTTTTCTTCAGCAGGGATCTTATCGCAGCTGTCAGAACAAAACTTTACATCTCCACTTTGTCGTTTTTGTCATAATTTGAAAATATCTGTGGACCTTTACATTATGTGTAAATTTCACAATGAATGGACTAAAAGAAATGGTCCAAAATGACTTGGGAAATATTCTGGTTCCATTGACTTACATTAAAAGTAAAGTACATTTTTTCCTTCTCCTGTAAAGTTACCATTTTGGAGAAAGGTTTTATTCCGACAACACCGATATACTTCACGATTTAGCACTGTGAAAACAGCATATCTAAATCATCGCACACTTTCTTCAAAACTGGGCAATAAAGCTGAGGATTTCCCCACTTTTATCCAGTTTTGAAGCAAGCGTGTGAGGATACAGACCTGCAGGTGTCACAGTGCTAATGGCTGCTGCTACTGTTAGCTTTGCTAACATATGTCTCTCCTTTTTTGTCTTCATCTAACAAAAAATAAGCCACATAAGAAAGTCTATTAGAGATTACTTAACAACTCCACAATGATGTGATGCCATTGCGTGATGATAAAGGCATGCAGTTAGTGCAGAGCTAACTGGTGGGGTGTTGTTGACTTTTTCCATTAATTGTTAGCAACGTTAGCCTCGTAGCTACAGTGTAAAACTATAGAAGCACACTTCAGATGCCAAATGTGTCTTGGCTGATCAGATCTGCTTTTGTAATGTGCTAATTTGATTACTTTTGTGTTAGAATTTCCAAATAGCCCCTTTTCTTAGCCTAGCAGCCTATTGTATCCAAGTACCCTGCTGCAAAATTGCTGGTTTGAGGTGGTTTTTGCTGCTCTGGTGCTGGTTTAGCCCGTCACCCAGCATGGCCATACTGGCCATACCAGCAGCCAAAACAGAACATATGCTGGTTTTGCTGGTGATCAGCCAGGCTGGCATTACAGTTATATCTGAAAGGAAGGACACATACATGAAAACTAGGAGATCCACTGCTGTTAATCACTTTTTTGTGCTGTGTTTTGGAGGTATTTTTAGGAGTTTTCCTCAAATGAGTAGCTTTAAAGACTGTTTTGTGCTGCAGTTGTCTCCGCTGTATGAGCTGGTGACGGCGCGAGACTTCACCTCCGCTAACATGCTGAAGAAGAACCTGCGGCGCGCGCTGGCAGAGTATCTGAGTGAGGGCAGCTCGTGCCGCTGCACCCCCTGCCTAAACAACGGAGTGGCCGTCCTCAAAGGTCAGATTCTAAAGTCCAGCTACGCTGTCCACCTACAGCTATGAGCAAGTGAGCTGCGGGAGGAGCAGTGCATGAACTCAAGAAGCACAAAGCTCCACTTGTTTAGTCTTAAGTAGAATTATATTAGTATTAATTCAAATTATTCATGTATACATTTTTAACCTTTATAATGGGATTAATTACCATTAAGTGATTAATCATTTATTTAAAATTTAGTTATAGACTTATTTTCTTTCCTGTTTGTTTTACTTGTATTCCTGTTTTAAGCACTTTGAGATTTTGTACCTACATCTAAAAGTGCTACGTGGGCCAGCCTACCAGATTAGTTCAAACTGTGGTTCCACTGTACAGAAAAAAAGAATAGAGATAGTAATAAACAAAGTATATACAAAAATATCATGTATAGGGTATATCCCAAACCCTAACCCCTAACATTTGTGACAGTAAAATGTATAAATAAAGTAAGCATTAGTTACTTTAATCTAAGTATATTTACTATTAAAATGTGTAAAAGAGAGACTGCACCTGTCCTTTTTGAAGTAAATGTGTCCTAAAGTCTGAAAATCAGCGTGAAACATTAAGAACTGTCACTACCGAAACACATATTTTCTGCAATTAATTAAACTTTTTTCTGTTCTGATGAAAAATATTACGATTTTATGTGTGAACTGTTCAAAGCTGTGTTTGCTAGTCATATACTGGCCAGTGTTTTTTGAGTTCTGCTCAAAATGAGCTAAAATTGTTACAACCGAAACATTTGATAACATTTTGGTAAAGTTATGATTGACAAAATAATAAATTAATAAATTAAACATACTTAATGAACAGGGTCACTCTAAGCAAAAGGATTTAAATCTAAAGTCCAAGTCAGTTAAAAGTCTGCAATTGGTTTTGAGCTCTGAACCAATTCAGTAGAATGAACCACATCAGTAACGCTTTATTATAGATTTATTATTATTATTATTATTATTATTATTATTATTATTATCATAGAGCTGATCTTTGAGTGTTAAACTCAGCACTGAGGTTATTATGACTGTTAAATGTTCTTTATTGTGTTCCTCAGGCAGCAGGTGTGAGTGTGTCTGTCCTGCTGGCACTCGGGGGATAAGCTGTGAAATAACAATGAGAACAGGTTGGTCTTTGTCCATGAGTCTTTACTGTCCTGCTGGTACACGTCTCACTAGCTCGTCACTCTATTTGACCTGTTTCTAGAATGAAAAGTAGGGATGAAATCAGGAATCAACTTTGGTTTATGCACATTACCAGTCTAACGTTTAGACACACTTGATTGAATGTATGGGTTTCATAACTGTAAAGAAATTGATGACCCCCCCCCCAACACAAACACACACCAACTACACCATCCTAATTGCTGTGCTTGCCTTGTTAACAGTAAAAGAGTGGACTGTGTGTCCTGTGAACCAAACAGGTGTGTTGTTTTCAGGCAGGGTCTAATCGGCCCTAATTGACAGAAAGTGAAAACGTCTGATTAGAATAATTTCATATGTGATTATGTCTATTCTATTATGTGCATAATAGTAAAAAATATAGCAAATCTCTTCCATTAGTAGGTGTGTCATAACTTTTCAGTGTTACTGTGTAACAAAATATAATATAATGGTCAAAAGGAGGCCAGTTTTTATGCAGCATCTAAATTGCCTTCTTTTAAAATTAGAATTTTCTCAGCTACATTTCTATCCACAATTGCAAGCGCTAAAATGCAAATGCTTTAAAAAAAATTTCCACCCACTTGTTTCCATCAAACTGACTTTTTCCATCAGAATACTACATTTCTTGCAAAAAAAGCACCCATTTCAGTTTAATGATAAAAATGTTGTATCCGATGCCTTCATCTCTAATTTGATGTATGGCGCAATGTGTGCAACTAATAAGAATTTTATGTTTATTTTGATTAATTTATTTTTATTCTATCATGATTAAACTATCATGCAAAAGTTCCTATTTCCCTGCCATATACAGCTGTTTGAGCTCTTTCCATTTACAAAGGCCTTTTCTGATCATCTCTGTAAGAGCTGAAAAGAGGCAGCGTTCCTCTTGAAAACGTTCTCGTTTCCTCAGTCGGGCTCCATCACACTGTTTGTGTTTGTTGTAGGAGGAACGTGGGGGAAATCACGACACTAAATTCATGCATAAATGTGTTCTTTTTTTAAAAAACAACAAGTTTAGTGTAGGTTTCTGTGAAAAATATCCTCTGTTAATTAGTTAGGAAAGAAAAAAACCTGCAATGTTTCAGTTAGCAGTTAAAGCAACTGTGTGCTAATGCTCTGAATGTGTTTCTCAGCTTCATGCTCATTAAATCACCTTCATCAGTATGATGAGCAGATTTTGTCTCATGATTTGACAGCTTTCTCTTCCAAATTATTGTTAAAAGCACATACTGAACCTCTTTTGGCCCAAACGGTGGTTTAACCCTTTAAATGGCCGAAGATGGGCCCAAAGTAACAAGCCTGGAATTTTAATGGGTTGAACACTTGAATGTGTATTTAACTGAGGAGTGCTGACCTCACAGCAAGGGGACAGAAAGAGTGGCCTTTTGCTTTATTTACAAATACATAAATAAAAACATTTTGAAAAAGCAGATGGGCATCTATACATGATTAATAAGATTCACATTTAATAATGGATTGTTTGACTCTGTTTTGTTTGCTTTGTCCACTGTAGGAGTTGCAGTGGACGGTGGTTGGAGCTGCTGGTCTGAGTGGTCCTCCTGCAGCGGTCAAACCAAACGGCGGACACGTCAGTGCACCAATCCGGCGCCGCAGAACAGTGGAGTGCCGTGTCAAGGGCCAAATGAGGAGACAACTGATTGTTTTGAATTTTAGACAGTCCTTCTATCAGCTTTTCAGGGAATGCATGAAAGTTTTCTGACTCAGCATGTTGTGTGTTCACATATGGAGCATTCACTGCTACTGTTACTGACAAATAAACAAATAAAACATACAGCAACACAAACTTTGTGGTGTTCACTGTTTAATCATTGTGCAAAATATGAATGTCTTTTTTCTGCAGTATGTTTGTCAACATGCACAATAATCATGATAGTGTTTTTTGCTAGAAGTGTTTATTGAAATGACTAATTTTCATTAGAGGCACTAACAGGATTCAACGGAAACTAGACGTCTAATGACCCCATCAACCACAGGACACGACCACCATCACTTAGCAGCTTTTCCTTTGGGTAGAGCTTCCTTGGCAGGGGAAGCCATTGTCTTTGGGTGGGGGGTTGTTGCACTCGCGTCTTCGGATCCTTATCCCAGACAGGCAGGGGGTCCAGTCCCCCCAGCAGCTCCAGTGTCCGTGAGTAGGACCTGTTCGAGAACAAATACTGGAGTTTCACCCAAAGCTCATGACTTCCTTCAGTTCCTTTCAGCAGCCTTAAACATTTCAGCTTGTAATATACTGTCATACGCAAAAGTTTGCACACCCACATTTGGTAATTTTTGGGAGCAAACATATTTTTTCTGCAATAATATTAGTATTATTATTATTTGTCATATGTAATATTTATTCAGTTTATTTAATGTATTAGAAAAATCAAAACATCTTTAGAGGAGTTATTAACTTATTTTCCCTTAGAAAATATACATGGGGTGCACAAACATACTACATAATACAAAAATACATAAGTTGTATTCATGTTGCGTCTGATTCATACCAAAGGTCACTTTACAGAAGCATCATAGACTACATAAACTACAGTATCCCCCCATAGCAAAGACACAATCAAGCTATTCAAGAGCAAAGTGCTGTAACAAAGAGCTCCGCTGTATGTTTACCTCTCTCTGCAGTTAGGGTCTTTTACAGTAGAACACGAGGTTTAAAGCTGCAATGTGAAAGTTTCAGGGATTTGGAGACCTCTCTGGTGGAAACGTGTAATTGCATGCAATATACAGAAGAACATTTTGTAACATAGATTGTGTTTCGGACCCCTTCCTCGAGCGGATGAATGTGATAATTGCGAGTGAGTTGAAAGAGGATTCAAAGAGAACTCAGTCTAAACTTGGTGAAGGAATTATCTACTATCTAACTTTTGAAGGCTGTGTGTGTGGACATTAATATATAAAGACATATTACGATCCTATATTTCAAAAGCTGAAGCTGCAATGTAAGATTTTTATTTAGATTTTTTAGAGGAAAAAATTCTAAAATATGGAAAACCAAATTTTAGCTTAAGCTCAGAACTAAAGAACCAGACAATCGCTTAGACATGGTTTTTTGCAGAAGCAAGTTAGTTTTCTCAGGAGAACAAAAAATGAATTTTGAATTTTTACATTTTTGAAATGGAATTTTTTAATTGTTTGAAATCTCATCTTTTTGAAAGCTGTAATCACCTTTTCTTTCGGTCTTCTCGCAGGCGACACCACTGTATCCCTCCCCGCAAATGCAGCTGCAGGCCGTCCTGGAGAGCATGGGAACGCCGTTGTTCCTGCAGGGGGCGCAGCGGCAGGGGCTAAACTGCTGCATGTACTCCTCCCATGCCTGCTTCAGCAGAGGCAGCCTGCTCCCCACCTGATTCGCCACCGTGCTAAACCGCACCAGCTCGTAGATGGGCAGAACCTGAGGACACAGCAGAGCACACAATGCCACAGTTTAATGACCAGTAGTTTCATAGTTTTTTTATATAGTTTTGCAGTTTTGGTAACCATCATTAAAAATTTCTGTGACTTGTGCCACAGAAGCCTTTATGTGGGTCCCAAACTCCAGCAGCACTGCTGTGTCTGATCCACTCGTACCAGTGCGACACACACTAACACACCACCACCATGTCAGTGACACTGCAGTGCTGAGAATGATCCACCACTCACATAATACCTGCTCTGTGGGGGTCCTGTGGGGGACCTGACCACTGAAGAACAGGGTAACAAAGTATGCAGAGAAACAGATGGACTACAGTCTGTAACTGTGGAACTACAAACCTATATGGTCAGTGGAGCTGATGAAATGGACAATACAGGAAAACATTCAAGTCTTTAACAAAGATTTAAATGAAGATAGAGAGGTGGCATCCCGGATAGACTGGGGGGAGAGTATCCCATAATTTGGGAGCTACTACACTAAATGAATGACCACCCATAGAAGTCAATTTAAACCTTGGAACATGAAGAAGGCCTAAACTTTGCGATCTTAAAGTTGAGAACGGACGTATAGTGAAGAAGCTCAGCCAAATATTGGAGAGCCAGGCTGTTCAGAGCTTTATATGTAATAAGGAAACCTTGTGAGTGCCTTTGAGCCAATTAAATTGAGTGCCTTTAAGCTAATTGCTAGCATTCAGTTTTAAAAGCTTATACTCATCCATGACTTTATGTCATGAATACAGTTAGATGAAGCAGGTGGTTGTGTAGTCTAAACAGGGTGACACTAACATAGATCTGAGTATCTTCTGCATAACAAAGAAAATTTAAACCATGATGGCGTATTATATGGCCAAATGGCAGCATGTAAATGGTAAACAGCAGCGGACCTAAAACTGAGCCCTGTGGAACACCCTTAGTTCATTTATTTGCCTCTGTTATGTGTATGTTAACCCTTTGAAAGTGAATGTTTAAGTAGCCAGTATGGTGATTGTCTACTTTTTTAGTGGCCACTAAACCATCTATGAATTTTATTTCATAAAGTTGAGATGCTTGCAACTGTTGCGGCTGAGTTTCAAACGAGTTGTGGTTTACATTGTACAGTTCAAAAACAATGTAGTTTCATGTGGGTTTCAAGCAACTAAAGTTGTATAAAAGTTTCATCACATAAACCAGCCTAACAAGTTTGAATGGATTTCTTAATGATTAAAACAGAACTGTTTCGTGTGCAAAATTAATTTTTCCATGTAAGAATAGACAGTTTTACTTTTATGCACAAGAACTACATTTTAACAGGCAACAATTCAATTTTCACTAAGATTAAATCAAATTAAATATGTAATAATTAAAGTTTTCTCCTGAAAATTGCATTTCTGATACAATGAAACTGTGGATTAATGGTTAAAACAGCTTCACTTAAGAAAGCTACTCTGCTGTAGGTCTGCAACAGCAAAGTGAAACAAAGAATGCAAAGCTGAGTTCTAGCTACTGTCAGTCACAGAGGTGAATATACCTCAAAATCAATAACTGCTGGGCTGTATTTGAGAGACTTCCCCCACTTCTTGTAGGTGTTGGCATCACGGATGGCCAGCTGAGCAGCGCTGAGGCCAGTGGTGCCTCCTTTCACATATCCAATCACATCGTGGACCAAGCTGTTCTGGGTGTCTGAGCCTGTAAAACAAATCGATTCTACTTTAGATATCAAAGTCTTTTTCCCTCAAAAAATAAAAGAGGAATATTCCCTCAGACAGGCTGTACATACTTGCAGAAAATGAGCCTGTTTTTTTGCAATCTTCCTTCTTCGCTGTCTTCTTGACTTCAAGCCCCTCAGATAGAGGAACTGTCAGGCCCAGAGATGCTCCGAAACAGCTGCCTACTTGTGAGGCCTCCATGTCTGACAGAGGGGAACGAGTGCAGTCAAAAGTAGCTTTTTATATCACAATTATGTTCATTTTTTGTCTGTTCAGGTCACTAAAGATTCAGGGTAGGTGCAACAGCAATGAATCAACAGGTTTTCATAAAAGACTGGAGGGGTGGGCATTATGGCAAAAATATAGTATTGTGATACTTTACGTTTACATGCACCCAATAATTCGATCAAAATCGGATCTCTGCAGTTATCCGATTATTCAAATGGTCATGTAAACACCATATTCTGATCTAGAAATCCAATTAAGAAATCTGATAAAGAGGCTGGATTTTAGCTCAGTAATCAGATTTCTAAGTGCATGTAAACTCTTACTCTGATTTCTTTCGGATTGCTTCGTCTGTGCATGTGTGGAACAGACTGCGGTATCGGAAAATAAACACGCAACGTTGCTGCGAGACGCAGCAAAACGCTTTTGGAGCGACACTGAAACCAACTACATTCTCGACGAAATAAGGATTTAAATATTCTTCTTCTTCTAGATGATGAATGTTCATATTTCAGGTAAAGCGGTGCAATGTTTTAAAAAAGCCGCGTCTCGAAGTTTGAGTTTTACATTACATTTACATCACAACTTCTGTGAGTTTATTGGCTGGGTGAAAAGCAGAAATCTGATTACTGTCTGACTCATGTCGACCTGAAGTTTCACATTACCTGATTACTCAAATACATGTAAACGTGTTAATTGAATTACTGAAAAAGTCTGATTTTCTGCAGTTATTGGATGATTAAGTGCATGTAAACGCACTCACTGTCATGATACATGATATGTATCACCAAGGGTGGAATTGGGCTTGAGTGCACTGGAACCCTATTCTGGGACAGTGCGCTGCTCCGACGTCCTAACAATTTGTCCTACACACTGAGCGGTCCCACTGCACTTGCGCATATCATTAGTATAGTGCAGTCATTAGTGTTTCACACATTTTACTGGGTTTTTAATATTAATTCAGCCTTATTTTAAGCCCAGACTCCCAGTACAGACTCAGCTTGATATGATTCTTATCCCCTGATAAGGAGATTTAGGCTATCAAAGTATCCTATCTACAGTTTTATGTTGGGAGCTACCTAGAAATATGTGCTACATATAGGTAGGACATTTTGACGAGGTAGGGAATCCGTCAGAACACCAGGTCAGATCTCAAAAATCTTGCTAACTCTTGTTATAGGGAAACCGCGTATAGTGGTTTAATACATGAAGCAAAGTGCAGGTGTGAACAGTTAATTACGTCTTCTTTTCATGACTTCCTTGTTGACCACTAGCACATAGTCCAGCACCCCTCCCATGACGCCCTGCGTGACGTAGTGGGTGCCGTATTCGTTGATGAAGTGGGAGTAGGAGCCGAAGTCGTAGTGCTCTGGCAGTTCCATTAGCGACTGCAGCATGTCCTCGTCCAGCATCAGGTCCTGGCTCCTCATTTTAAAGTGTGCCGTTTCCACCCTCGTCTTGAGTC